AAAAAAAAAAAAAAAAGGAATTGGAGGAGGGGGTTCGATTCCCTGGAGAGTCCTTACCGTCCTGGGGTCTCCTATGATTCCCGGGGGGACTCAGCGTAGTCTTGAGGAGCTTTGCCTCTGGATCCCTGAAGGAAGCACGAGTAACCCTGGGAGTTTATTTGCAGAGTATCTAGGATATTCTGGGGATTTCTCCCGTGAGTCCAGGGTAGGTCAGCAGTAACCCTGGGGCTTGGCCTCTAGGAAGCTTCTCCCATGTTGCCTTGGGACCAGTTCTGGGGGTCTGCTCTCAGAAAGGACTCCCATGATTCCTTGGGGGTTGTGCCCACAGGAAGTCCCACCAGGAATGCACGGGGAAGACGGGGGGGCGGGGCCGGCCCCGCCAAGCCCGCCGCCACAAGACATGCCCCAGCCCCCGGGAAATCAGCAAGGTCATGGCGTCCATGAATCTGGGCGTGCTGAGTGAGGGTGGCTGCAGCGAAGAGGAGCTGCTGGAGAAATGCATCCAGTCCTTCGGTGAGTGTCCGTCCCCAGCAGCCTCCCAGTCCTCACATCAGGCCAAGCGCCCGCTTCTCCCAGCCTCTGTACTGGGGGGTATATATAGAATGGGGGTAGGGGCGTGTAGGATGAATCTCGGTCACTACAGGAGAGAAACATCCGCCTTTCTTTTTCCCTGAGTTGGGGAGGAGAGAAGGTCTGATGCTTTTTCTATCTTCAGCAAGCCTTGCCAGGCCTTGTGCTGGCCCATGCACAGTATAAACAAGGCACAAGGAGGCTAAGTTACCTGCCCAAGTCGCACAGGGCATCACTGGTAGAGCTGATGTTTGAACCAAGTTGCCCCAGTGGCCCTGGGGCCTGTGCTATCCATTGCCCAGGGGCCATCTGACCGAGTCTCCCTTTTCCCATCCCCAGACTCAGCTGGCAGTCTGCGCCACGGGGACCACGTTCTCAACATGGTGCTGGCCATGCACAGCTGGGTGCTGCCTTCCACTGACCTTGCCACCCGTCTGCTGACCTCATATCCTCCCTGGTCCGTGAGCTGTGTTTACAGGGCTGAGGGTGGAGACGGGAGAGTCTGGGACACGGGGACAGGGCAAGCAGGCAGGTCTGAGGTGCCGGAAAGCAGAGCCTTGACCAGAACTCAAGTACCAGAAGGCCACAGGGTCCACGCAGGAGCTCAGGCGGCTACAGATCTGCCATCTGGTCAGGTAAGGCCAGGCCAAGAACCCTACTCCCACTCCCAAGACTCCGTTCTCCTGACCCTAAAACACCCCTGAGAGAGTCCCCAGCCCAGTTTCCACAGGCCCACCCAGCCCCACGCCCCAGAATTCCACTTCTGAGAAATCCCTGGCTTTGTTCTTAAGACCCTCCCAGTTCTGTTCCTAAGAACCTCCACTTCCTAGAGACCCCAGCTGAATCCCATAGACCCTCTCCCAGTTGGAACCCAGAGCCCTCCAGCTCTGAACCCCAAAACCCCTACATCCTACATAGCCCAGCCTAGCTTCTTTTTTTTTTTTTTTTTTTTT